GGCTATAATAGTAGGGGAAGCACTGCATTATGAAATGGTAATGGTCAATGGCTTGAACTTAGATAGCATCTTATCAAGTCCACTTGGACCCCAAGGTGCTTTACACTTCAGATATTCACCCATGATCACATTGATGGTGGTGAGCTACAGCCACAGCTGCCCTGGGGCACACTGACAGAGGCAGGGCTGCCATGCACCGGCACCACCGGACCCTCTGACCACCATCAGTAGGAAAGGCGGGGGAAGTGTCTTGCCCAAGGACACGACTGAAACGACTGGACAGGGGACTGAACCGGCAACCTTCCGAGTCCAGGACGACTCCCCTAACCACGCCCCCACAGCCGCCCAGAAAGAAGGAATAAATGTTATCTTTAACCTTTAAATATTTTTAGTTTGCTGCATTAAATCACTGTTTACAAATGTTAAATTAATTTAAAATCTTGTTTTGTCCCTTTAAGGTTATAACAACTTTTTCTCTTAACAAAAATCTCTTTCTGACGAACATTTAATTCATTATTTTCACTTTAGTTTCTTTTTTTTAAGTCAAACATCCGGTAAGTTTCAATTTTCTTCCAATGATTTCATGATATTTTGCGAACATCCACTGAAGCTCGGTCCATTCTTCTTTCGACGCAGCTGGCAGTGTGCGCATGCGCAGTGGCTGTCACGACTCGAGCGCTGCTGCGGCTTTTTTCCAGGTGAGAAAACATGGCGATGAAGGCGCTCAGAGGGATGGTGAACGGAGCCATGAGCGAGCTGTCCTCGGCCGTGAGCGGAAACAAGCCGACTGCGAACGCTCCGACCTCCGCCAGGAACACCGCCGCCTTCCGGGAACACAGCATGGCCGTGAGCCGGGATTACATCTCCCAGCCGCGCCTGAGTGAGTCTAAAGAAAGCTCCAAGGAGGAGGAGGAGGCAGGTCTCCATCAGTCCACATAGGATGCTGTGTCTCTTAATGCTCAACATAAACAGGATGTGAGTCAGTGCAGGAATCTGATCAAAACAACCGTCAAATACAGTCAGGTCCACCTGTCAGACAGGAGATGTGATTTGATTTATTCTTATCTTTGTTACAGAAGATAAATCCACTGCAGGACCTTTAACTTAGACTTTAGTTTAGTTTTTCTGTGCCATCAAACTGATGCTGCTTAAACAGACAAGTTCAGGTTTTTTACTGAAGCATGCACTAACAGAAACACACTGTAGTGGTGTCTGCCATTATTAGCAGGGCTGGCCAAAAGTTTTATGAGGCCCATGGGCAGAATTTGTGCTGAGGTCAACAACCCACCACCTCCGTATCATTATTTTATTTTTATTATTCATGTCAACTCTAACACATGGGTAGATAATCTTTTTTTATTATTATTTTTTGGTTAGTTACACTGCCTTTTTTTTACAGACTTCAGTAAATAAATATTAGAAGTCTGGATGTTAAAACCTCTGCACTGTATTTGCATTTTCTACCGTGAGCTGACATGACATTAACTCCAAAATCTCACACAAACTCTGCCCTTGTCTTTTGAGAGACTCTTGATAAATCAGACAATTTGCTTTTTCCTGCAGTGTGAATTCTTAATGCTGAAAGATTTTTCCTGAAAGCTGCTAAAGAAGCTGAACATGTTTTATAGCAAAACTGTTAACGTGAGTTCAGTTTGTACAGCCGACTTTTGCTGAAAGTAGGAGAGCAAGCAGAAACAAGTGAAAGGAAAGTGAAAAAGCTCACACAGGCAAACACTCAAGAAAAGAAGTACAAAAATGTGGTGATTAGTTGTAAAATAGCATAATAGAAGCAGCCAAAACGAGCAGAAAATAGCTTAAAGGTAGCTGAAATTTGCACATAGATGCAGAAAGAGCACATTTGCTGAATTAAGCAGTAGGATGCCTAAATCAAAAAACATGTGAATTTAGCTGAAAAAAAATTTAAAAATTGGCTGTAAATAGCTGTAAAGAAGCTTAAAATACAGAAAACAGCTAAAATGAGCAGAAATCAACTAAAAGAAGCATTAAAGCTTAAATCAGCAGTAATAAGCCAGTAGGTGCTTAAAATATTTAAATTAACAAAATAATAGCTGATAGAGCAGAAAGATAGATGAAAAAAAAAAACAGAAAAAATCTGAACTTATCAAACAAGAAGTTGAAGTTAGCTAAAATGAGCACAAAAAAGTTTTAAAAAAGCAGAACCAGAACAAACAGTAAAATGTGCAGTAAAGATTTATAAACAAGGATGTTGAAGATAACTCCATTTTCAACGAGAAAAAAAGTCGAAATTGCTTAAAATGTATAAGTTGCTGAAATACTAAAAGTCATAGCAAATAGATCATCTCAATGGTGTGAATGCTTTAAAAACTTACACACAATTAACAGTCTTTGTTTTTGAGACTGTAGTTCAGAGGCTGCTGAAGGAAATACCTATTTGCTTTCAAAATAAAAGCATTGCAGATGCCCGTTTTGAAACAAAATCTGTTTAGTCTGTCCTTCTGTCTGCTTCCTCAGCCTATAAAACAGTATCTGGAGTCAATGGTCCGCTGGTGATTTTGGATCAGGTGAAGGTGAGCCTGACCTGTTGTTGTGCTTGTGTTTCACTCATAACAAATACAGACTCTGCTGCTCACTGTGTCATAGTCCTGAAGAGAGAAAGTGTGCTAATTTGGTCTTTGATCACATGCATCTGTTTAACACGATGTTGTTTCAGTTGTGTTTTATAGACTTCTTATAAAACAGCAACAAAATGCTATTTGATTTTTCTATATTTTTATTAAATACATTTAATTCTTAATTCACCCCCAACAAAAAAAAGAGAGAGAGAAAAAAACACAGATTAGCTAAAAGAAACTGACTGGTCTTTACCAAAGCTGACTGTATTCAGTTGTACAGGAAAACAAGGATGTACACGGTCCAAAAATGTACAATTTAAATAATTTCTTATATGATTGGATAATAATCTGATCTGATGTAATTCTTCTTTGAATAAATCTATATATATAACAAATAATTCAGTTCATTACAATAATACACATTTCACATCAACTTTAAAACAGATAAATTAAAACATTATCTAATTGAATCCAGTTTAATGCAGTCCAATTATAATCTCAGTTTAACTAAAAGCAGTTCCATAACTCAAACTCAATAAGTTTTCGCAATTTGTATTTTTGACAGGGATGCACCGATATGAAAATTTTAGCCAATATCGATATCCAATATAATTATTGGTGTTATGGCCGATAACCGATATTTACCAATATTACACAAACATACAAATTATATTATACATATACGCAAAAAACACACTTGGGTCTTTTTTTGATACCGTAAATAAACAACCAGACAGACCTCTGACATGACTCCCTACTTCAGTTATTCCTGACTATGCAGCGTCAGTATAACTATCATGATCAAACAGATGCCTCTCAACCAACCGTCTCACCTCCCAAAACACAAACACAAAGATAAAAAATGGGAAATCAATATCGGACATTAATATCGGCCCTGTTTTACATATCGGACCGATACCGATATTCTAAAAAATAACAATATCGGCCGATATCGATATCAATACCGATATATCGTGCATCCCTAATTTTTGAATTAAATAGATACACTTTAGCTCAATTTTTTGATCTTTAGAAAATAAGTGTGGGCTCATGAAATTGGTGGTTCCCCAACGTTTTTAGACTTGTGTACCTCCTGAGCCATTTTGTCATACCACTAGTACCCCTTCAGTCAAACGTAATGATGATCCTCCAAAACTATAATGTACTACAACTGATTATTAAATGAAAATTATTTATTTTACTCCCTAGAACGTTTAATCCTCCAGCGTTTTTATCTTTTCAACTCAAATAAAACAAAGATAAAAATGTTGCCTTGAAAGTGATTAAGCAATTCAATAAATAAATCAGGTAATGGCAGGTGAAGGAAGCAGCAGCGTCCAAAATACATCAGAAACTCACCCAAATTAGCAAATTCCGTGAGATTCTGCATTTTATATTGGATTCCATTTTGTGTCAATTCCGTGATTCTATCTGCATTTTTCGCATTGCGGAAATCATAGGGCCCTACATATCCCAGTCCTATTTTTATTTATTTATTTTTACACACCTGGGAAATTTTTCCGTTTACCCCCTGTAATATGCTCGCATACCCCTGGTTGGGAATCACTGCATTAAGTCATCAGAACATTCTGACATAAATAAAAACACATGCGATTCGGTTTGGTGTCACTAACCCTTGTGGTCTTGCTGCACTCTCCAGTTTCCAAAGTATGCCGAGATCGTCCATCTCACCCTGCCTGATGGTACCAAGAGGAGCGGACAGGTGCTGGAGGTCTCTGGTTCCAAAGCCGTGGTGCAGGTATGTTGTGTACACGAGTGTCAAAGAAACCTTTAACCTTTATTGTGTCATTGGCTAAGGCAAAGTGTAAATAAAATTGTCATTGTAAGTCTGCCATTTTAATTTTGCTGCAACTTGTTTTAAAAACATAATATGACTGAATCATATAGGTTTGAAAAGTTGCATCACACAGACAGGACCACAGTAGAGATGATTGGTCACAATCAACATGTTCTGTAAAATCCAAATATAGCATTTTAGCACAAATACGTCAAACCAACTGCCAGACAGTGTGGTGGAGGGTTGATGATTTAGGCTTGTTTTGCAGCCACAGGACCTGACCACCTTGCTTTTGTTGACTCAATCATAAACTCCTCTATAGCTCATTATTTTAGAGTCAATTGTGAGGTTGTCTGTCTGACATCTGAAGCTTGGCTGGAAATGGGTACTCCAACAAAACAATACTGGACCAGCACATCTATAAAATAATGACTGAAAAATAGAAGAGTTACGGTCCATTGTTGCAATGATCCAAATTCCAGACCATATGGAGTGCAATACGTCTCACAATGGCAGCGCACACGCGCGTCAACATTTGAGCTCGCACGCAACAAAATTTGCGCCAAGTACATGGATCTGTCCTCCTGTGTGTTTGACTTATGAGACTTTCACACATGAAATGCTGTGTTCAAGGCTGGTGAAAAGCTGGGAAATCTGAGCTTTACCATATTTACTGCATTATTAGGAATATATAATATACTGTATAGGAATATTTATTTGTTCTGATAAATTTCCAACCTACTCAATATATGTTGTTTATTTCAGCCGTACAGTTCACAAAGTTTTCTGGAACACAGTAATTTCAATAAGTGTATGTGTTTTAATACACTGTAGGCTTTATGAGCTATAAGTCAGAAATGCATTGTGACCAATAACCCAGTAAATGTGGTAAAGCTCAGATTTCCCAGCTTTTCACCAGCCTTGAATGCAGTCTCAAAAGTCAAATTCTCCACCAAGCACATCTGTGCACTTGTGTGTGCAAATCTTGTTGCATGCTTGTTCAGATCCTGCTGCTCACACATTCCATTTATGCGACGAGTTTGTCTTCATAAGCCCAACCTGACTGAAGCAACGTTGTAAAGAAGAGTGGGGCACAAGACCGCACTAAGGAATGAGAACTGCTTTTGTAATGTGTAGAATGAGAACTTTGTTGCAACTAAAAAAGAGTTTCATAAAAATATGAATGGCAATACTTTAGAGTTTTTAAAAAAAAGCTACCATAGACATTTTTTTGTACAATGGGATTAAATGTGTTGTGCTACTTTCAAGTTCAGTTTATTGAAGGCTAACAATGATTCGCAAAATCTCCACAGGTGTTTGAAGGAACTTCTGGTATCGATGCCAAGAAGACCAGCTGTGAGTTTACAGGAGACATCTTACGAACACCTGTCTCCGAGGACATGTTGGGTACAGATCCATTTTACCACCTCTGCTCTGCTTATATTCAGTTTCAGTCATATTTTGGAAAAAAAAAAGGTACTAGTTGTATGTTAGATCACAAACTGTGTTTGTTTGCAGGTCGTGTGTTTAATGGATCTGGTAAACCTATTGACAGAGGGCCAGCAGTCCTGGCTGAAGACTTCCTGGACATTATGGGTACATTAATAACAATTTTTTGTTTTATGGGTTCTAGGGTGGAAAAAAAGTTGCTTTTGAGGTTGTCTGGAATATGAGATAATTTCTAATTAGACATCTTTTTACTGTGTTTCTGACAGGCCAGCCCATTAACCCACAGTGCCGTATTTACCCTGAGGAGATGATTCAGACTGGCATATCTGCCATTGATGGCATGAATAGCATCGCTAGGGGGCAGAAAATACCCATCTTTTCTGCTGCTGGACTGCCACACAACGAGGTACAAAAATACTTACTGTATAAGATACATACTTGTACTTTTCTGTTGCATTCTGTATGATTATAGTTCATTCTTTACTACCCTGACCATTGAAGCTTTGCACCTGAGTCAAACGTCACAGGACACCCTTTTACTTCAGAAAGAAAAAGAAAAATTACATAACTGCATGTTTGGGGTCATCGTTCTGTTGAAAAATAAATGATGGTCCAACTAAACGCGAACTGGATGGAATAGCATGCTGCTGTAAGATGCTGTGGTAGCCATGCTGGTTCAGAATGTCTTCCATTTTGAATAAATCCACAACAGTGTCACCAGCAAAGCACCCCCACACCATCACACCTCCTCCTCCATGCTTCACGGTGGGAACCAGGCATGTAGAGTCCATCCGTTCACCTTTTCTGCATCGCACAAAGATAGAGTGTTTGGAACCAAAGATCTCAAATTTGGACTCATCAGACCAAAGCACAGATTTCCACTGGTCTAATGTCCATTCCTCGTGTTCTTTAACCCAAACAAGTCTCTTCTGTTTGTTGCCTGTCCTTAGCAGTGGTTTCACACAGTCTTCTCTTAACAGTAGTTCTAGAGATGTGTCTGCTGCTAGAACTCTGTGTGGCATTGGCCTGTTCTCTAATCTAAGCTGCTGTTAATCTGCCATTTCTGAGGCTGGTAACTCGGATGAACTTATCTGCAGAAGAGGTGACTCTTGGTCTTCCTTTCCTGGGGCGGTCCTCATGTGAGCCAGTTTCTTTGTAGCTCTTGATGGTTTTTGCGACTGCACTTGGGGACACTTTCAAAGTTTCCCAATTTTTTTGGACTGACTGACATTCAGTTCTAAAAGTAATGACGGCCACTCATTTTTCTTTACTTAGCTGCTTTTTTCTTGCCATAACACAAATTCTAACCGTCTATTCAGTAGGACTATCAGCTGTGTACTGTATCCACCTTCTGCACTACACAACTGATGGTCCCAACCCCATTTATAAGGCAAGAAATCTCACTTATTAAACCTGACAGGGCACACGTGAACTGAAAACCATTTCAGGTGACTACCTCTTGAAGCTCATCAAGAGAATGTAAGCCGGGTTCCCACGCATTTTGAGCAGCCAAAGCAGCCATTTTACATGCAAAGTCTATGGTGGACACGCATCTAAGAGCAGCGCAGTGTGTTGCAGCGTGTTTTGCCAGTTTCGAGCAGCGCGCAAGGTAGTGGTAGGATGCGGCAGAGCATTTTCTGTGCATGCGGCACGTCCAAAGCAGCGGCTGCTCGAGTTCAACAAATTGAACTTTGGCTACTCGATGCGCAGCAGCAACCAATCGGGAGAGAATAAAATTTCCTCATGATGGTTTCCTGAACCCGACAGACGGACAGGAGCTCTTTTTTTTTTAGATTTAGCTGAAATCGACCGTCTGCAGTTGGTGTTCTGGCTGGAGATACAGGCACCGATGCAACTCGCTGAGCTCGGACAAAAAAAAAAAAATTAAAAAGTCTGTCAGCTCGCAGCTCCTCACCTCTAAATTATCTGGTGAATTAATTATCTGCTGTGCGCAACGTTCGCTTGCTCTTTAGTAAATAAAACAAAGCCATTTTCTTTATTTTATCTTTTTTCACCCGTCGTTAAAGACAGACTGGAAAAAAACCAAGAAGCTCCTCCTCCTTCAGACGCGCCTCAAGGCTGTCCCCGGTCTGAACACAGTGCATCCAACTGGAGGTGTTGGGCGCATTTTTGCTACTCAAAACGCATTTGATGGAAGGTGGCTACATTAAAGAGCCTATACTATAAGACATAATTTTGATGCCTTCAGTGTGAATCTACAATTTTCATAGTCATGAAAATAAAGAAAACTCTTTGAGTGAGAATGTGTGTCCAAACGTTTGGTCTGTACTGTATATAATTACAAAATAACAGTTACAATACACTACAAAATACTTAAGCTAAAATGCACATAAAAACACATAGACCAACAGATGGGAGGTCATTTATATAAAGTGAGAACAGCAAAGGTCCTAAGGTAGATCTTTGAGGAATACCGGTTGACAGGCTGGGAGCTGCTGAATTAAATGAATGGATTCTGACAGGTTGGGAGCAGTCATTTAGGTAAGACTCAATCCATTTACGTGTGGCTGGAGAAAAATTAAAACTGCATAATTTTGTTGACAGGATTTTATGATTAACAGTGTCAAAGGCTTTCTTGTGATCCAGAAACACAGCACCAACAACCCCACCTCGATCCAACAGAGCTCTGATGTTTTCGGTAAAGAGGAAGTAGCAGTCTCAGTAGAGTAATTGGCTCTAAAGCCAAGCTGCATAGGGTGGAGAGTAAAGCTCAGCTTTTTTACTTATTTACAGTTAGTCCATGGGCTAGGGTGGCTCACCTTGCACCCCCCACCCCCCACCCCCACTAATGAACCTCTCTGGTGTTTTCATGTACCCTAGGGTCCACACTTTCAGAAAATGCATGTTAACAGAAAAAAAGTTGGGTCTCACTGCCCACCCCGAGACCCCCTTTTGGCCACACCCCTTTTCTATTGTGACCATCAAAAATCACTTAAATGCAAATAACTTTGCTACAAACCAACCAAAGTTTAAAAACAAGGTATCAGCAGATTCGTATTGATTAGCTCTTCGATGTACATGACATTTCATTAAGCAAATATCTGCTTGATGATGTCATCGGGGTAGACTAGGGTGCATGCACACCCCACTACTGAACTTCTGTGGTGTTTTCATGTACCCTAGGGTCCACTCTTTCAATAAAAGCATGTTAACAGAAAAAAAGTTTGGTCTCACTGCCCCCCAGGGACCACTGTGACTACATCCCTTTTCCAATATAATTCAAACCTTAACTGTAAATCTAGTCTAAAATATCTTTAAAATAATTTGAACAAGGACGGATTGGCAAAAAAGACAGGGTCCAGTTTTTTTTAATATTCTTCATAAATAACTCCATCAGTTTTTCAGCTCTTCTGTTCAACAGATTTTTCAATTCAAGCACTAAAAAAAGATAAATCATAAAAACTAGAGGCTCTCTTTCGATTTGACTGCCCAAGCATTTTTCCAGGTGCGGTCTAATCGCTGAAACAAAGCCAGTTAATTTCCTGTCGACTCTGTTCAGTGGTATCTGACTCATCTTGGCTAATTTTAATGAATTAATCCAATGTGCCATTTTTGAAACTGGTCTGATTTAATTACACAGGAAAAAATGTAAATATAATCTTTAATTACAATGAAAGGTGAACAAATGACCTTCCTCAGGTGTTTTTTTGTTGAAAGTTTGTCTCATTTCCTGTTTTCCTTCAGATCGCGGCTCAGATCTGTCGGCAGGCAGGTTTGGTGAAGAAGTCCAAAGATGTGATGGACTACAGCGAGGACAACTTTGCTATAGTTTTTGCAGCCATGGGGGTGAGAAGGTTTTATCGTTCTGCACCAGAATTATACACAGTTTGTTTCATGTATCATTTCATTCATGATTAATCTGTCAGCTTTCCATTTGCTTTTCATTTGTTTCTTTCAAAATAGGTGAAAAATTTTAGTTACGGATTATTCAAAAACTTTACATCAGAAAGTGTATTTGAACTTCCATTATTGCTGCAGGAAAAAGACCAAAAAGACAAATCACATTTTAAACTTTATTCTAACACAGAGTGTATGTAAGGTCTGTTGGTCAAACTCACCACTAACAGAAAAAAAATTATGTAGATTGAATAATAAAGGAAAAAATAATTAGAAATAAACTGTACTCCAAAAACATGCAGGTTAGGTTGCCTTCAGGGTCGAGCCTCCCTTATCAAAGAGATCTGTGATCTCAGGGGGATTGGCCTGGTTGGCAATAACATTAGAAAATATTGCGTTGACAATATCAGGTGTGATATCTTTTGTTTTTCTTTCCTCACTTTCTAATCTGCACTTCCTACTTTGTATCTGGTGTGTAAACAACTTGATGACAACTTGAAATAAGAGTAAATTGAAAACTAGAGTGACAAAGAAGAAACAAATGGATTAAACCTTACTCTGGTTTCTTGTGTTTCTTCATTGACCACCATTCACCTCATTTTACTCTCATACATACAGTGATAGATAAAGAAATGTAAACCTCTCTCAGTTCACGGTTTTATACATCAACATATAAAAATAAAATGACTGTTTCTAAAGACCCAGTCACATGATAACGGTATAGAGAACCATTGCTGACTTATGAAAAATTAATAAATAAATGACAAATATAGGTGTTAGTTGATCTGTTTGTTAGCATTAAATTCTGTATATGTTTAAGAAGCTTCCAGTATGTTTTATTCCATCATCAGCTTAGACATCTTTAGTATATTTTCAGAAGTTACAATGTGACAGAGTCTGTCAGTTTTTAACAGTGGTGGGCAGCGCTAATCCAAAAATTAGGTCCACAATTTCTAAAGCGTGTATGAAAATATTTAGGTCCGCAACTTCAAAAGGGCTTGTGCCATAGAAAAACTAACAGATGCTAATTTTAAAGCGCAATTCCAAATTGACACTTACTAGCTGGCAATAATTCATGTACAATATATGCACAACACTGCCAACTAGTGATGTATGAACTCTTTTTCAGCTTAATCCTACAACCGCTGATTGCTGGGGATGTGATTTCATGAAACAGACCTTTAGCTCCTGGTGTAAAAATTAAAAAGTTGTTGAGGATTGCTAGTTCGGCTGCTTCTTTGTCTTTTTCTTTTGTTTGTTGTAGATTTTTCATTAAAGAAGCATCAATAAAGTAATTTTAAAACTGTTTATTGGAAAACTGAAGCGATGCATTCTGGGTACATGACGGATTTGATTTGTGACGGGAAACGAAAGCACGGAGTAAAGGAAACTATCTTCACTTCAAAATGAGAGCTTGGATTTTAAAGTTTTCCATGTAGTTGCATCAGTTGACCACAAGATGTCTGTCTAACCCCAGCTCCAGCATTTAAACTTTATTTTTTTAAAAAAGGAGCTCCGATTGTAAAGTAAAATAAATCAATACATACAAAAATTTTAGTATGGATTACAAACTTTAACTGTTTTGCTGGGACAGGGAGTTCTAAACACTGCCTTCCTGCTACGTAAGCAGACACAAAGAATTGTGGGAAATGAGAACCCTGACCGAAAGCAACAGTCACCAAGGATCCATACGTTTCCAATAAATGTGTTTTTCTGGTAGGGGTGCTGTTGGATAGATCACGTGTGTTGTGATTCATTGACAGCTATACCTTCCCTTCTGCTGTTCAAGATAATGATGACTGGTAGATAATTATTTATTAGCGGTACTGCATTTTAATTTTAGAAAGCACAAATCCGCTTATGAATTATAAAACTTAGGCTGCTAAAGCACAAACAAAATATTTAGGTTCGCAATTAGCAGATTTGCGCTTTAGTGGGCTGGTGCCCACCACTGGCTTTTAAAAGGGAAAATGCAGAAGCAGTGTGTAAAAATGTTCTTTTGCATGACCACAACTATTTCTTCTATCTTTGTAAAAGAAAACCCATTCTGTACAAAGTTTTGGTTTATTTTTACTCCGTTGAGGTTTGCAGAAATTTACTTTATCACAGCTTCTTTAAAGTCCCACTACAGCAAAGCATTTAAATCAACTCAATGTTTTGTTTCATATTCATATTTTTTATAGAATATCCAAAAATGTATTTTTTTTTCTTCTTTTACCAGGTTAACATGGAGACAGCCAGGTTCTTTAAGTCAGACTTTGAGGAGAACGGATCAATGGACAATGTTTGTCTGTTTCTTAACCTGGCCAACGACCCCACGTAAGAGTCTCTACCAGACAATTTTGTACATACGTATAAGTACTATAAAGCACAACAAAACAGAAGTAACAAATATTTCTTTGTTGTAGTCATGTTCAGGTGCCTCGATAGATCACTGAATAAGTCTTGTCAAATGAAAGCATTTTGATGTAGAATTTATATTAGATGTAAAAATGGGCAAACAAATCTTAAATTTCAAAGTAAGAGATCAATTAATTCTTCATTAAAACGTTGTAAGTTTTTGTAAACAAAATGTATTCTTTGATTCTTGTATTTATAGGATAATTAAAATCTGGTTTGATTACATTGGGAATTTTTGATAAGTAAAAAAACAGTAAATTATGATTTTGTATTGTTTATGTGTAGTGGTATTAATTATGTTGGAAAAAACATGTAAACGTAAGAAGTAGAGTGAAACTTGTTTCTTTTCGCAGCATTGAGCGAATAATTACGCCTCGACTGGCTCTGACTTCAGCTGAGTACCTGGCCTATCAGTGTGAGAAGCACGTCCTCGTCATCCTCACAGATATGAGCTCCTATGCAGAGGCTCTTCGAGAGGTCAGCCATGATTTCAGTTCATGTATCCTAAAATAAATGTAGAAAAATAATAATAATGAAAAGGATCTCCATGCTTTTTTGTAGGTATCTGCAGCCAGAGAGGAGGTGCCAGGCCGCCGAGGTTTCCCTGGCTACATGTATACAGACCTGGCCACGATCTACGAGAGAGCTGGCAGAGTAGAGGGTCGCTGTGGCTCCATCACCCAGATCCCCATCCTCACCATGCCTAATGACGGTACACAATATTACAGCATTGCACGTGAACTGATTGTGCTGCAGAGTTGTTCTAACAAAGTGATTTTTGTCTTTCAGACATCACTCATCCTATTCCTGACCTGACTGGTTACATCACCGAGGGGCAGATTTATGTGGACAGACAGCTTCATAACAGACAGGTAATGAATACATCATGACTCAGTCTCATCTAAAAAGACTTTTATTACCTGTAAAATAGTCATTTACAGTCATAACTGTAGACAAGTTATACATTTGATCACTTGATCAGTGTTTCTCTTAACCCTCCTGCTGTCCTTGGGTCAAAATGTTGATTGGGCTGTTTTAACCAAAGGGCAGCAGAAAGGTTAAGATGTGTCCAGTGTGACTCTGAGCTTGTTTTGAGTTTAGGTTAATTATGAGTTAGAACATGAATTCAACAGACACGTACAAGATCTCAGTCTGACAAAAAACACCTGAACTGGATTTGTTGGTCGGTTTTAAGATTTGAAACCTGACCGAGGAGCTAAACTTGATGTAAAAGTTGTCTTAAAAGATTTTTGTCAAATTTGAAGGTTTGTGAGTTTAGTTTTGATTTGGGAATTGAAGTCAGAATTGCTCATCGTGACTGAAGGATAAAAATTTGAATCTTCACTTCAACCTTGTTTCTTTCAGTTAGGAAATATTTGGCCTTGTCTTGAAATCTGACTTATTTTACAGTGCATGCACATCTACAGCTGATAAACTTGATTCAAGACGGCTGCCACTGCATGACTTTGTCATCTGTTCTTCTCCTGATCAGATTTATCCACCCATCAATGTGCTGCCATCTCTCTCTCGACTGATGAAATCTGCCATTGGGGAGGGAATGACTCGCAGAGACCACTCTGATGTTTCAAACCAGCTTGTAAGAACAGAGCTGCTTTGTCAAACTTGTGTAGACTTTTGTCAACCCTGTATTGAATGGTTGTGTATGTGTGTGTGTGTGTGTGTGTGTGTGTGTTTAGTATGCATGTTATGCCATAGGAAAGGATGTTCAGGCCATGAAGGCAGTGGTGGGAGAAGAGGCTCTTACTGCTGATGACCTGCTCTATCTGGAGTTCCTCACCAAGTTTGAGAAGAACTTCATCTCCCAAGGTGCAGTAGATTCATGTTGGTGTAGATTCTCAGTCCAGGACATTGTAAAACTCCAAAAAGTAAAAAAAAACCCAAAACAAAACAAAACAAAACAAAAAAAAAAACTGGATTTATATTCTGCAGTTGAAGACTTTTCACCTTCCATCTGGGAGTTTTCTCTATTATAAACTGTGGTGTGTGGTATTGTCCTTCTCCAAACACAACATCCTGGTACATTTTAAACCCAACCGGACCCTCAGACAGAGGCTGATCCATCCTGATGCTAAGTTCACACCGAACGCGTTTTGAGCGGCCAAAAAGCACAAAACGCCTCTCCTTGGACGCGCTATTTTCACACTGAGAATGCACTAGTGTTCAGACCAGAACAAGCAGCAGCAGCAGCGGGGTGTGGGAGGAGCGTGTCTTCGGCGGGTGAATAAAGATACAATAAAAAAAAATGCCTTTGATTTATGTTCTAAAGAGCAAGCGAACATTGCGCACAGCAGATAATTAACTCACCAGAGGTCGGATTTATAAAACTGGTGCACGCACAATTTGAGCCCAGAAACTTGCGTAAGCCACTTTTTACACCAAGGTTGTGATTTATAAAATCCAAACATGACGTGAAAATGTGCGGTGCCTCACGCCAGCTCTGACCCATGCGTGTCTACCACGGATAACAGAGCAGGCAGGAGGGGGAGAGGACGAGGAGAAGAGTGGTGGACTTACTTCTAATTTTATCTGACATTTAATTTAATTTTAATTGTTTTTATCATCCTGCAGGCCCTGAGGGAAAATTAATTTGAAGCTGAGTTTTTTTTAAAATTAAAATTGTTAGATTACTCTAAAGAAAAATGAGGGAAAATCTGTCAATTACAATCTGTTCACGTGAGCAGCTGTCAGTCAGCACCTGTCAAACTCCAGACGCACGACGGAGCGCGTCTGAACCAACCACTTTTGTTGGCATTGATCAGCTGACTGATTTAAATACATCTTAACATTCATGAGGTACTTTACATTGACTGTTTATGGTTGAGTGTGGGCGTGTAGAGGGTAGAACCTGAGGCGGGACCTCGTGCGCAAACTCTGACATGCGGCTGTGATAAAGGAAAGATGCGCAGAAATGTGCGTACACACGGTTTTATAAATCGAATTTTTTTTGCGTACGCCATTTCCGCCTTTTGGCCGTACGTTCACTTTTAGTATCCACGCAGTCCTTTATAAATGAGACCCCAGATGATTTAGAGGCGATTTGTTCGGTTAGTTTCGTCACTCCAGAAGCTGCCAGCTGACAGACTTTTTTATTTGGTCCCGAGCAGCTGATCCACATTGGTGCTGATATATCCTGCCAGAAAATCCAACTGCACACGGTCGATTTCAGGTAAAGATCTCCAGTCGGTCTGTTTCGGTTTTCAATGGGAGACGCGTCGAGCGGCGAAAAGTTCAGATATTTGAACTCTGGCGGCGGCTCAGGCGGCTGCGGCTTCCGCAGCACCGCATGCGCGGAAAACGCTCTGCGCCCCTTCCGCCTTCCTTGCGCGCCACCCAAAACATACGTGACGCGACGCACGACCCCTAGAGGCGCGTCCTCATAGACTTTGCATGTAAATCGGCCGCTCCTGCCGCTCAAAACGCGTTCGGTGTGAACGTAGCATAAGGACAGAACCTCAACTGAGCAGTGTGGTTAATGCAGTTCAGTGCAGTGACGAATGTTCAAGGGTCAGACTTATAAAGCTTGCGTACGCACAAAACGAGCCCAGAAACTTGCGTACACCACTTTTCACGCAAAGGCTGTGATTTGTAAAAACTAAATTTGACGTGAAAATGTGCGGTGCCTCACAGCTCTGACCCATGCGTACGCTCATTTTGGAGATGGGAAGCTGCGACACAGATGGTGAAGTGAGGAATTAGAGCCACACTGTGTAATGATCACTGTCAGATATTTCATTTCACTTCATAATCAGACTTAGATTTTTATTCAACTTCATCATTCTTAACAGTATAATTTATTCTGCTGCTGAGCCATAAGGACCTGTGAAGTAAAAAACTTAAATCTTAAATAAAAGTTCATGCATCTCCATCCATCTCCTTCATCCTCACGACCCTGACCCACAGACCCCTCCCCGACAAGAGACATTTCAACAGCACGATAGCGAAAGTCACACTTTGAGTACTCGCCTCTTGCCAGTGTGGATGTTATAAAAAGTTCACTTTTCAAAGTCTGTATTTCTCACATTCTGTGGGGATGTGAGGATGTGGGGATGTGAGGGGGTGAGGAGACAGTCAGCTGCAGATAACAACGCAGGCAGGAGGGGGAGAAGACTGGTGAACTTATTTCTAACTTTATCTGACAACAGTAACAAATAAATTTTATTACATAACAAATTTTTGCAAACATCCTAGTTAGAGCACTGGCTGGCAGCTCAACCCATCTCAGAGCAATCTGCCACCTTTTGACCAGGAACGTTTGGCCTCAGACTTGTGATTGCTGACTCTACAGCTTTACATTTGACTGCACTGGTGCTTGCTGATGTTTAGTGTTGCAGAATTTATCAGAACCTCATAATCCGGAAACAACACCGATGCAAGTGGCGTGTTGATCCATGAAATGAGGTTTTAATGAATTAGTTGGCTGTTTTGCATCAACCTTTCACTGTGTTGTTTCACTCATACAAATTAGGCAAACTGGTTATGGCTCGTTTACTGACCTAAATTAAAAAGATTTAATGAAATCCTGAAAATCTGCTCAATTCTCTTCTGCAAAAGTATTAAAGCCAATTTGTTGTTGTACTGTTGTGTGTGTGTGTTTGGGTACCCAGGTGCCTACGAGAACAGGACTGTGTTCGAGACGCTGGACATTGGATGGCAGCTCATGAGGATCTTTCCCAAAGAGATGCTGAAGAGGATCCCTCAGAGCACCTTGGCTGAGTTTTACCCCCGAGAAGCCAAACATTAGCCCAAACACACACGCTACTTCCACTCATTTCAGTGAGACCTTGCGTACATACAGTGTAGGTGTTGTGACGCTGTAAATTTCCAGACACTCGTGGCTTTCGTGTGGCCTTTACAGCAAACATTCACTGCATAGACCAAAGGCAGAAGAGACAGAAATGCACTCATGAGTTGGTGTTTGTTTATGGAGGAAAATGATGGAGGAAAACAATTTTGTTAAATCAAATATCTGTGAAGATGATGATAATGAAAACATTATGCCTTTATTTTGAAAATCATAAAACACCCAGGTTAGAGTTCAACTGAATCTCTGGTTTCCACAAACAAAATAAGTTGATATAAAGCTGGGCAGAGGAAGAGGATGTTTGTTAAAGAATTAAAAGCAACATCATAACCTATTAAGACATTAGTGGGACTTATATGTCATTTATTTGTCCTTGCATGAAGTATTTGCTGTGGTCAGTGTTTTCTTCGTGTGCACTTCGTTGTTGCATTTAAAAGTGGAACCCATGGTCAAATGAAAAATGGAAACATCTGAAACAGTCACCACTACAAAGTGTTGAGTTTAGCCATTGAGAGTTTAACAAATATTCTAACGCAGTGGAAGTTTTATTTTAGATAATAAAACATTCATTTTCCACACTTAACATTATTCCACACTTCTATTCTTAGTCCTGCAGTCTGTTAAAAATCCCAGCATTACAAGTGGTTTGTCTGCCCGATGTGGGCCAATTCTGGCAATGATGGCATTGTTTTTAAGATGTAATGCCACAACTGGCCTAGTTGTAGTTTGGTTTATGTGGTGCTGGCCCATACATGGACCACCTGTAGCAAACTATATTTATATTTTCAGATCTTCCAAGGTGCCAATTATGGAACTCTCTGTGCATTGTTGCCCAAATCAAATTCTGGAAGTGGTCATTCAACTAGATCTGTTACAAAAGGACAACTGATATTACCAACTTTGAAAAACTGTCTCAAAACAAGATCAAAGAGACTTTTTGGCTGATATAAGATTTTAAAACTTGGTAAAGTGGACATTTTTTGCAGTGTAGTAAAATTCATCAATTCATTAAAACTTATGCATTTAAAACTTCTTGTACACGAGTGATGTTGCTGTATTATTGAGGTTATATCTTTATTACTGTTGCTCAGTAGTGTTTTAATTTAATATAGAATATACAACTCTGCAAATCTATTTTTCTTGATATTTAGGCAACATCTTATTTTGTTATTAAAAAAGTGTTCCTTACAGAGCTGCAGCATATTTAGAGCTGTGTTATTTTCTGAAAATGTTGATATTTTAAGCAAAAATATGCAGACTGATCCTTCAATTTTGTGCATCTAAAGAAAGCTTAACAGCTGCCCAACCCACCCCCCAAAACAAAATAATAAAATAAAATAAAATAAAACATAGCCTAATTTTAGCTTCTGTCTATTTTTAGGGTCCTAATCCCACTAAACCTAGGGTGTGTTAAACTATCACTGGTGAGATATTATACAAGTATGTATCATAGTGATTTCATGAAGTAAAGTAAGAGAAGCTTGGACTAGAAAGTAAGGGAGCAGAAACAGAATCAAACTTTACCTTCATAAAAGGTTATGATGCAGCCTCTAAAAAAAACAAGAAAAAAAACACCAGTTTCATTTGCTGATCAGAGGGACCAAGCCAAAGTTTAAAGTAGAAATGAAACAAACATTTAATGAACCAAACAACAAGCTTTTTTGAGCAGACATCGACACGAACCCCAGGAAAGTCTTTCCAGTGATGAATGAGGAGCCTGTTTGGATATGACACATTCATATGGAGCAAATTCACACTGAAAGTCTTTTTTTTTTCACATGCTTATGTTCTAATCACTTTGCTACATGAGTTAGCTTTCAGCTGTCTGAAGGTAAAAGTTTGAGCTCATTTCAGTGGCACTTTTCAAGCCAGTCATGCCTATATTGGGAAAGCCATGAGGTAAAATGATATCAAAGATCATTGATGCTGTAATGACTTTATTGTGTGTCGTCTAATAGTTTATGATGTTTCTTTAGATTATTGTGCCAAATGCTTGACTTTGTGACGGTCTGTGTTTGTGTTTTCTGATAGGCGTCGGCTTTAAGTCACTCATTCAGCCTCTTCAGTATCTGTGAAATCTGTCTTTCGGTTTAAACAGTTTTTTGGATATTACCTGGATGTATCCAACATGCATGCACAGTCGTCGAAATGTTTACTGTTTGTGCCTCAATTATCATGTCATGTATGGTCAAATAAAACAGCTGCCTCCTTCTTTTTGACCCACTGTGATTTTTATTTTCACAAGTATTTTACCAACATATCCATGATGTCTGGTGACTTTGTGGGTTAAAACTGTCGACCGAAAAACTTTGCGTGGCTGCCGCACATTCTCACGGCAGGTGAAAAGTGTGCTTACGCACACTTTCACGCAACGTTGGTTTTGATACATCACAACGTGGGCGTAGAACCTGGCGCACGCAACTTTTTATGCTTACGCACCGTTGATACATGAGGCCCCTGGAGTCTCCAGTCATTAATGAAGCCCACCAGGGGAGCGTCCACCTGCCCATCCAGGTTCACCTTCAGCAGCCTGGGCTGATGGGACTGAAGGTTCTGAAGAAGTCACAAGGGGGTCTGAGTTTCTGAAGATCAGTCTCTGCAGGACCCTCATGATGTGAGGTCAGTATTGATCTACAGCACAGGTGTTGAACTCTGGTCCTCGAGGGTCTCTATCCAGCATGTTTACATGATGAGTTTACATGATTGGATGACTAACAGGCTTCTACTGAATCGAGGTGATTGAATCACAGAATCGGGTGTGTTGGAGCAGAGAAACAAAAAACATGCCTGATAGAGACCCTCAAGGACCTGAGTTTGACACCCCAAGTCTACAGGATGTCCAGTCTTGGGTGCTGGGACTCTGAAGGTTCAGGCTCATGTTGAGGACTGATGCAGTCTGGTCCAGCTGCCTCTCTCATCCCCTGGCTCTCTGTGACTTTCTGTCCTGTGGTGTGTGTGTGTGTGTGTGTGTGTGTGTGTGTGTGTGTGTGTGTGTGTGTGTGTGTGTGTGTGTGTGTGTGTGTTTTCAGAGCCTCTGATGGGTGTCCGAGCCTTCAGATCTGAGCTCAGTGGGGCCACATGCAGTGGTCCTGTAGGGAGGGCTGCACAATACATCACTAGTTTCATTACTAGTTTATCATGACCACAGCTTGGGCAACTGGCGTAGTACAAGAAACTGCATAAACTGCTATAAATGTTTGGCTCAGATGTTTGCATTGATGAGTTTTGTCAACTTCAGTCTGATAAACAAAATGGACCAGAGATACCACATCAAGTGAAGTCATAACTACAGTGGAGACATGGACAACTGCAATGAGAGGATTTACAGTTGGATTGATGTTGTTAACTTTTATTTACAGTTCTTTAACTGATTATTTAATGTTTTTATTATAAAATAAAGAAAACTGGAGGATTTTTGTCCCACTCTTCTCCAGGATGAGTTTCTTTAAAAGAAGGGGATGTAGTAATTTACTCAGAATGTTGTTTGTCTGAGTGATGCTTTGTAGCAACGAAGTGTTTTCTTATTGGTCAGTTTGTCTGATGATCCAGGAAGTGATGCTGTAGAAACTGTGATGTATATGCTGTACCTGCACGCTGGCTCTGAGTTGGTTGGTAGTAGCTAAAAAAGTGAGTCTTTCACTAACTACATTTCGTACATAAAGCAACTCAATGTGATTTTATCAAGGACATAAAACATTAAAAACAATAAATCTGAGTTTGGATTTATAAACACATTCATGAAAAATACAGAATCAGAAAAATAATCAAACTAAACGAACAAACAATAAAAACTGAATCAGAAACTTTTGTAAATAGTTTTTCTTAAATATTTACAGTGAGGGTTTTTCTCAGTCTAAAGATCATTTCAGAATATTTTAAATTGAATTCTTCTGTGATTTTTGACACATTTTTAAAATAAACTTCAGGTTTTCTTCAATCTCTCAATAAAATCTTTTAGTTTCTGCTGTTTTTCTGCACCTATGACTGAATAATTAGTGAAACAATAAAAAAAAACATCCATTATTTGAAAAATATATTAAAAGAAATAAATGAACAATTTTAATTTGTATTATTTTAAAAACATAATTAAAGCCCACCTGTGAGTTTTAGATTTCTTTCTGCTGCAACACTCAGTTTGGACTGTAACAGTTTGTCCTTTTTTAATCCATGTTTGTTTTGTATAATCTCTGTGCAGCAGACAGATTATCCAACAATAAAAGACCAAAAACTGTAAAACAGAACAGATTCTGACCAACAGGACTTCAAGTAGATTTGGACTGTTTCAGTTTTATGAACTCAGCTGAAGATCTTTTACAAACCCAAACTCCAGCGTGGAGGGACTGAGTAAAGGTGGTCTGGACTCTGTGGAGGGGGGTCATGGTTTCAGAGACGCTGCAGAAAGACAGAATACCTGCTCTGTGGTCCAAGCACACTCCGATTCTGGAGGAACCAGGATCTGAGACTGGAGTATTGGACACTTCGTACCAAAACACATAACTGTTTGAGTTACATTCTCACTACCAGGATTTGTTGTTGCATCCAAAGAAAGATTCAAGTCTAAATTCTGCTCTGCTGATATTATTGTATGAAACTGCTACACCAACTCCTCCCCCGCTCCGCTCCACCTCCCAGTAACAACATCCGCTCAGACTCTCTCTGCTCAGAACCTGAAGATGATCAGTGAATCTGTCTGGATGATCAGGATAAGACTGCTGTTGTTCTATAAATGTAGCTTTTCTGTTTCCATCAGATAATAGCAGGCGTCTGTGAGCTGTGTTTGGATCCAGAGGGATTTCTTGTGAATATTTTAAGAATCCATCTCTGCTCTTTGGTTCTGGTTCTGGTTGTGACAGCAGAACGTGGACTTGAGAGACTCTCAGTGAGATGTTTGTCCAGCTGTCCCTCAGGACGTCCTGTAGTTTGTCTCTGAGCTCCTCCACAGCTGCTGTCACATCCTCAAAGTACGTGAGAGGATGAGTCTTGATGCTGGATGAGTGTGGAGACTCACTGAGTGCTGACACTGAGGGGTAGTTGTGGAGAAACTGCTTGTGATCCTCTGTGTGTGAGAACTGCTCCAGCTGGTCGTCTTTCCTCTTCAGCTCAGTCAGCTCCTGCTCCAGCTTCTCCTGAAGCTCTTTGACTCGACTCGCTTCAATTTCCTGCTGGGATCTGATCTGCTGCTTCACATCAGAGCTTCTTTTCTGGATGAGACGGATCAGCTGAGTGAAGATCTCCTCACTGTCCTCCACAGTTTTATCAGCAGAGACATTGATGACCTCCACCTCCTGTTGGAGCAGCTTCACATCTTTCTGTCGCTCCAGGATTCTCTGCTGGATTTGTTGTCCACTGGCCTCCAGCTCCTTCTGCTTCTCAACTCTTCCTGCTGCAGCTGAGACTBTTTCATGTCCTTCATGTTCATCCATTAAGCAGAGATAACAGATACACTGCCGATCAGTACGACAGAAGATCTTCATRACCTCATCATGACGAGGGCAGATGTTCTCCTGGAGCTTCTTGGATGTCTCCACCAGCTGGTGTTTCTTGAACTGATCAACGCTGTAGTGAGGTTTGAGGTGATTTTCACAATAAGAGACCAAACAGTTGAGACAGGACTTGACAGCTTTCAGTTTCCTGTCAGAGCAGACATCACAGGACACATCTTCAGCTCCAGCAGAGCAGAGATCAGCTGGAGCAGCTTGGAGTCCTGTCTTCTTCAGCTCCCCCACCAACTCTGCTAACAAGGTGATTTTTACCAGAACAGGCCTTAGTTCAAAGCGCTTCCTGCACTGAGGGCAGCTGTAGACTTTCTTCTTATACCAGAACTCATTAAAGGCACAGTGTGTAGGATTTTGTCAATTCTTTTAGCCGAAATTGAGATGATCACTAATGACAATAATAAAAAACATGTCTAATGGTGCGTTCACACCGAACGCGATTTCAGCGTCAGGAGCAGCAGGTTTACATACAAAGTCTATGGTGGACGCGCTTCAAGCAACGTCGGGAAGTTCTGCGGCGCCTCAAGCACGATTAGAGCAGCGCGATTTGAACGATTTGAAATCGCTGAAGTTGGGAAATCTGAACTTTTGCAGCTCGACGCGCAGCGTCAACC